GAATATAAAACAAGAGATATTGACCGACCACCAGACCTAGAAGTTATCTGAAAATAACCCCCCTGATCTGATGATGCAACTTTGCTTGTTATTATGGCTAATTACCTCTCCTAATTTTTTTATTTTAAAAAAAAGTGAATTATGGGTATGTCTGTCTCTTTCGAAACGTGGGCTGTCATTATGTTCTTCTCGGCTGCGGAGAGGACGAATATTATACTAATAATTCACATTATATTTATTGATCCGGTAGTACCGTTGTTAATTATTTATATTTATAACTTATAATTAGTGTGTGTGCTTAGAGACTCAAATGACGTATTAAGTCTGATTGAGATAACTTGCTCCAGAAGACGAAGATTATATAAGATGTTTATGCATCACGAAACGCAACCACGTATATAATTACACCGCATCCGCATGGATGATGAACAACTTAAAGTTTGCCATTTTCTAATAATTGTATGGGGAAACCAATAAGTTCTAACTTAGCTGACTTCTAAATTCTAACTAGGGACGGTCCGAGGATTTCAAAATGGATTGGGTTAAGTTGATCTGACGTACAAACCTACTAAGAAGATAGAAAACTCAATGATACTAGTGAATTTCATTGACAACAACAAAATTCCAAAGAATTTTTTATATATCTCTTAGGTTTTTTATATTGACCCGACATTATAAAAGTATAACCTATTAAATAATATATATATATAAGACAATTTGTCAGCAACTAATTAATTCATTAAATCTCACTGATCGATATTATTCATGTAAGCAAGAACACCAGTATTATGATCAAAGTTTTCATGACAATAAAAGTCTTTTACTAATTTTCTCATAGGAACTCGTATGACAAAATGAAATGGAAGTAATTCTTTTAGCTATGACCTGAAGAAAAGGAAAGCTAGTGATATGAATGGTTTTCCAAAAAATCTAAAAATACTTGATCAAGTGTTTATCAACTCAGAATTGATGTAGAACATGTCAATCCAAGGTAAAGTTTCCAATGTCTTCAAAAATAAAAAAATAAAAAAGGAAAAAAATAGTTTCCAATATCAGCTAACATTAATTTCACACTATGTTCACACTTTTCTATCCTTTGCAAAGATTTGCAAGTCAACCTTCTAGCTTGCAGAGGTGGGCTAAATATAATTTTGAGTTGAAAGACAAGAAAAGTCGCCTGGCCTATAGCCCAGGTTAATTCCTTGCTAGGTTAGTCCCTGGTTCTAACTTATATTAATAAAATTATTAAATTTGCATCACACAGTCCCATTTTAACAATGCGTATAGCTAATCTCTTTTCTTATAAATTTAAGACCTGGTAAATGGGTTTCAACATGAATCTCGTATGTGTAAATCAATAAATATGGTATATATAGCAAATAATACAAATTCGTATTGCAATACAATTGTAATTGTTAGATTAGATCGACATGTTCACCATCTCTTTAAGGTATAGACTAGTATTTGTCCTCGTTTGATGGGTAGAATAAGTAACAAAATTGAATTAGCTTAATCTACTAAAAAATGAATGCGGATATATCCCACACAATCCCATTATATATACTTTTGTAGAATAACTTAACCTACTAAAAAGGTGAGATTCATAATCCAACTATTCTAATTAATTGACTTTAAATCAAAGACCCGAGGGCCGCGATAAATTCAAAATACTTATCCTTTTCAATCCAACCAATTATACATCTTAATTCAAATGCAATCCTAATCACCAAATATAACCTTAAATTATTGAAACATGCTCACAAACGCATAAAAGATGCGGACGCAAGTTTTGTCGGTAATACAAATTAAATTTGATATTAAAAAAGTTGTCAGTTAGCGTAACTAAAAGATGAAGTAGTTGTTCACGAGGCTTCAGTAATGATGCAGATACAGCCGACTCACTGGTTCTAATTATTTCAGGTCTTTAGCATTAGCCATATGTAATCAACTAAAGTCTATAGTCACACTCGCACCAACCTTAAAAAAGCTTGAATTGATGGCTGGCTGCTAGCTTAATAGGCAAAGATCCAATCGGTAAAGCCAAGTGTGTGAACATGCAAATTAGCCTCCCTTTCCAAATTGGTATATTTATCTATATTGTTATTTTTCTTGGACCAAAAACAACACAACACCCACATTGCGAATGCTTTACATCATGCACGGATTTTTTTATTCAACCTTTGATTTCGATGTTTTAGCTTCTTCGGGTCTAGTTTAAGATCGAGCTAAAGAAACAAATGACTCACTAGTATAGTAGTTTTGAGTGATTACTTCCTCAGACAAAGTTTTGGATTCGAGTCCTATAATATCCGTGTAGTGTATATAAATTTAGTATATTATTGCTCCTTTCAATTAAAAATGTCCTAAAAAAACATTGAGCTAATGAACGGTTTTTCAATTTGAACACCAAAAGGATAATTATTTATTTTAAAAAAAAAGAAGAAGAAGGGGTAATTGTTAATTTTTGAAAGGTGCATGCTTGTGGCATATGGCAGGCTTAGCAGCAATGCATCACTCATTTTCTACCAAACTATGTGGAATGGACAAGATTTGTGTTCCAACAACTCCACATCTTCAAGCCTTATCCAAATCCATATTTCCATATCCCAATTATAGGAGTTGTGATTTTTTTATTTTTTATTTGTGTCCCCACACGCAAATATCCATCTTAACTTGGTTTGCAAAACTCTCACAGCTCCTCAACTTGCAGCTCTCAACTTGCACCATCATGCGCAATGCTATGAAAATGCAATATTGAATAGATGGGTAAAGGAGGCATCATATAATTGTGACAACTATACATATATTTTACAAACACCACAAAAAAAAAAAAAAAAACCAAAAAAAACCAAAAAAAACCACAAAAAACAAAAAAAAAACTTGCATGAAAATTGTAATGTCTTTACCCAATGTTATGATAGAGATTAAGTTGAAGAACGTGATGAAATTACAGCTCCATGAGACTAGGAAGAAGGTTTGGCTTTTCCTTCACTCATTGAGACGGCTAAAAATAAATTAAAAGTGACATATTAGGAACCATGTTTTTCATGCGATTGATCCCCGGGATTTACCGGCATAATATTTTGCCATTTTTTTCTTCTCCTTTTCATTGATGGGTTTTAAAGTCTAAATTACTGTTATCTCCTTAAGTAACACGCTTTAAATAAAAAAAGACTTTTAAGTAAGCACAAATGTTATCAACTTGGATTTTTTAAGAAAAAGTAGTAATAATTGAGACTTATAACACTCACGTTAAAGAATTTGATTCTCGGCCCTTTCACTCTCTCTCCTTTTGATAGTAAAAAAGAAAAGAAAAGAGAAAGGGTACATAGTATTATAACTTTGGCACCCATAGTTACCAAATCATGCTTAATTCTGTTTATGTGTCTTAAATAGGAAGATAATAGTGGTTAAAGATTAGCTTAGTCGGTTGGTGTGTATAAATTTTTATTTTATTTTTTTATTTAATACAATGGATAGTCTAAACTACAAAAGAGATAATCTGCTAATCATTGTATTTTTCTGCTAAGCTTAATCATATTCAAATTATTTACGGTGGTCAGAAGCTTCTAGGTTATTTGATACAAGATAGCTGTAAAACCAGCGTTATCCATGCTCCAAGTGTTGAAATAGCACTTCATCTTCTTGACTAAAAAACTAAAATGGTTCATCTATAAATTTTGTGCGTTTTGGCCATCCTCGTAGTTTGAGTCTAACCACGCACAATTCCAAAATAAGGAAAATGCTGTAACTACCAAAACTAAAAATCCAATTTAAATGACATGACGTGTCATTAAAATAGTTAGGCAAACCTAACAATTTTTCAACATTAGCTTTTGATTTGAGTCGTTCATAGTTTGATTACATGGGTAAATTTGCCTCTTGAATCTTAGCAGGAAATATGAATTGCGAGAAAATGTAACGCATGTGCAAATCATGAGATCATTTCATACTTACACAAGTTATAATGAAATAAATTGTTAATTTAGAATTTATCGAAGTTTCTTTAAATTCATGTATCTATGACATTTGACAAGAAAATATGTAACGCATCATGAGTAAATAACAATTTCAAAAACTAGCATTTTTCAAACGCTTCAACGTCAATATAGGCCAGTGAAAAATAACTTTGACTTGTAGACCAGTTATCTCATGTTCAAACCTCCATAGCATCTTGACAATGTGTGTGAGAAAATCCCCTCTCTTAATATTACTTGTATAAAAAGATATACGCTTCGACATTATCTTATCCCACATTAAAGTTAGATTTACACAAACTAATTTATAACCTTTTAATTCAAACTCATGATAATTTTTGATAAAGAGATGGAAGTAAAAATTTAAAATTGTCCAATAACACCAATGAGAATTAAAACAAATTCAGGTTTAATATAAAAAATATTGCTTGAGAAAAGAAAAAGAAAAATTTATACAAATTTATAAATAAACCCAATCCTAGACATGTATTTATAAAAAAACCCAAGCACTATTTAAACATAGAAACACACCCAAAATCAACCCCAAAGTCAACTTTTTGGGTGTGTTTATAAATGGGTTTTGAGTGTGTGTAATGATGGGTTTTGGGTGTGTTTATATGTTTAAATAGTGCTTGAATTTTTTTATAATTTCAACCCCCATTTTGGGTGTTTTAGTGAAACCCCCAAAAATTTATCAGTTCGGCTGAACTACACAGTGTACTGGGCCTGCTCCTGCTGGCCTAGCTAGCTCAGTGTCCACGATGAGTATTTTGACCAGTCGTTTGGTCTCTCACCAAAGCCTGAACCGCAAAACCCGTTAAAATCAGAGCATCCAATTTATTTCCCACTAAAATTAATCAAAACTAATTTTCTTTCAAGTCAGATTAAAATTAATTAATTTTATTTTACTGAATTAACTAATTTTCTTCATCAATCTAGTGGGCTCCACACAATGGCTTGTCTTTTGGTCTCCCTCATTCCCCTTGTATATAAGTTCGTCCAGAAGCCATTTGTTTCGTCTTTTATCACGACGCTGATAAAGAGAAACAGCCAAAACCATTTGCAGACTCTCTCCCATACCCGACCCGAGAAATTTCCAAACAAACCACAACGCACACACGGAGGCTCACACAGAGCTTGGAATATGAGAAGAATCTGACGAAGAAGAAGAAGATAAGGCAAGCTACATATGACGATGATGACGCTGCACAGAAAAAAGCTCAGAAGCTCGCGAAGAACCACTGCCAAGTCAGATTTCTTCGACGGCTTACCGGACGATCTCGTCGTCTTCATCCTCTGCAAGCTCAGCTCCTCCGCCTCTTCACCGTCCGATCTCATCAACATCCTCATCACGTAAGCACTTCTTTTGTTACCTCCGCTCCTTGTGGTGATTCTTCCATGACTTTTGGTATTGTAGTTAATTTTTATTTATATTTTTGGAAAAAAAACAAATAGGTGTAAAAGATTGAATCGCTTGGGACTTCACTCTGTGGTATTATCCAAAGCCGGTCCCAAAGCATTTGCTATCAGAGCCAACAACTGGTCCGATTCGGCTCACCGTTTTCTCAAACAGTGCGTGAGCGCCGGTAACATCGAAGCTTGCTACACTCTCGGGATGGTCAGTCTCTTGAACTAATTTCAATTTATTTAATTTTCTCTGATTTTTTTAAAGTTTGTGGAAAATAAATTCACGTTTTTGTTGCTACAGATCCGATTTTACTGTTTGCAAAACCGAGGGAGTGGAGCTTCACTCATGGCGAAAGCGGCGATGAGATCTTACGCTCCGGCGCTGTACTCGCTGGCCGTGGTTCAGTTCAACGGCAGCGGGGGCTCCAAGAAGGAGAAGGACCTGCGAGCCGGCGTAGCTCTCTGCGCTCGAGCCGCCTCGCTCGGCCACGTAGACGCGCTTCGAGAACTCGGCCATTGCCTCCAGGACGGTTACGGAGTCAAGCAAAACGTCACCGAGGGACGCCGCTTGCTAGTCCAGGCCAACGCACGGGAGCTCGCGTCCGTTTTACGCTCCGCCACGTGGCGGTCCCACCACTACCAGCACTTGTACTCGTGCCTCACGGGGCTGGTCAGCTGCCCGCTGCTGAGTGACTTCGGCTGTAACGTTCCGGCCCCGGAGCTCCACCCGGCGAACCGGTTTTTGAAAGAGTGGTTCGGCTCGGGTCGGGGAATTTCGGGGCAGGGGATGAGACTGTGCTCGCACGTGGGGTGCGGGAGGCCCGAGACGAGGCCGCACGAGTTTAGGAGGTGCTCGGTTTGTGGTACGGTGAATTATTGCTCACGTGGGTGTCAAGCGCTTGATTGGAAGCTGAGGCACAAAGTCAAGTGTAAGCCGATCGAACGGTGGCTGGGTGTTGATGCTGAGTTAGGGGGACTGGTGGAGGGTGGAGATGGTGAGAATGTGGCCGTTGGATAATGAATTATTAATAATAAAAAAAGGACAAGAAAAAAGAGAGAAATTTAATTAATTTGGTTGCGCTTGGTTTTCCTCTTTTTTCTTTTGGCAAATTACAGATGTACGATATACAGAACAGAAGGGGCAATATTTACCTTTAGATATGAATTAATATTTATGTTGGGGCCTTTTGTTATAATGTCAAGTAGGTTGGGATTGGGGCAAATTCGTATTTACAAATTTCGAACCCCAAAAATCATGCATGCATGACTTGGAAAGTTGGTATTAAACATGCTAAAAACAGGGATCGCACCTGTAATTTGTGTTTGTTTGTCTAATTTATATTATTTTTAGTTTGCAATCTTAAAGAATTATACCTAATAAGATTGATTAGATTTCCATACTTTCGTTAATTTTGTCCTATACTTTAGTATTAGCCTAAATTGTCTTCTTGGTCTGGGGGAATCAATACGTGCATAGGGTATAAGATATATGATCTTTGTGTATATAATAATGATAATAATCTTGTGCTTTAAACTTGTAAATGTATATGTGTGTTTTCTCTCTCTCTCTCTCTCTCTCTCTCTCTCTCTCTCTCTCTCTCTCTCTCTCTCATTTTGACAGTGTAAATGAGTTTAGGCCATGTTTAGTTCATGGAAAATGAGGCTTGGGGACAGGAAATAAATTGGTTTCCCATGTTTGGTAAGTCTAATTATAGGGAATCGTTGCATAGTACATGAAAAAGTAGGGAGAAAGTGAAGCCCTCCTCTTAACTTGAGTTTTGTTTTTGCTTATCATGAGAAAGTTTGGGAAAATGAGCCAACATTAAATACACATTTTGTTCCCATTAACAATTTAGAATTACAATATATCATTAAATACATTCTTTTTTTATTTGATTTAATATAGATATAATTGAACAATTATACCAACTTTGTTTTCCATTCATACTCAAAACAAACATGGAAAATGAAATGAAATAAAATAATATCTTATGATTACTTTCCCAACATTCTCAAACGTAAGAAATGAATATTTCATTTCCTATCCTCTGAAAAATGACATGAAAAGTGATTTTCCTTCAAATCCGTTATTTAAACCAAACAGGGTGTTTGTGTCCAAACTCCAAATCCAATAATTCGTAGGGCCAGTTTGGCATTGCTGTGCTGTGAAAATAATCGCTGTCAGATTTATTGTGAAAGAAATCAGCTGTGAAAGAAAACAGTTTGACTTTTGGTAAAATTTTTGTTAAAAGTGTTGTTGGTATTGATTTTATACATAATCAAAAAATGATTGCGCATAATCATTAAACCCAGCGCATCTTCGAAACTAATTCATGCATAATCAGAAAATGAAAGCACCTCATTTGCTGCTTTCCCTTATAACTCTCTCACATTAATTTTTAATAATAAGTGATTTTCTCATAGTTTACCAAATGGGTTGGACTTTTCAAAATTATTTAAAAATCACTTGTCATCCTAAATAAGCAATGGCAAACAGGCACGTGGTCTTGTGGGTACTATAAGGGCCAGTTTGGCATTGCTGTGCTGTGAAAATAATCGCTATCAGATTTGCTGTGAGAGAAATCGGCTGTGAGAGAAAGCAGTTTGGCGTTTGGTAAATTTTTTGTTAAAAATGTTGTTGGTATTGATTTGACGCAAAATCAGAAAATGATTGCTGCATAATCATTAAACCTAACACATCTTCGAAACTGATTCCTGCATAATCAGAAAATGAAAGCACCTCATTAGCTGCTTTCCCTTATAGCTTTCTCTCACAGCAATTTTTAACAATAAGTGATTTTTTCGCAGTTTATCAAACGGGTTGGGCTTCTCAAAATTTTAAAAAAATCACTTATCACCCCAAATAAGCAATACCAAACTGGCACGTCTATATAGACAGTGGCAATAATAATTGTTGGTGTGACAAGTTTTAGTGATGGCGGATGGTTATTAAGTCGCAAGTCGCAATAATGCATTTAATTAAGGAATAAATTGATTCTCCCTGTCTTGTTACTGCAGAAAGCTATGGCGATGGGTCTGTTTGCCCACTTGTGTATTTCCCATCATTTTCTCTTCTTTTCTTTTGTGTTTTTCCCTTTTTCGTTAATGGAATAAATAGTTTCCACCGTATAACATTATATCTTAAGATTAAATGCTACATTTTTTGGTTGGAATCAAGTTTCATTAATAGAAAGGCAATGTCAATTACATGAGAGTGAAATTCATAAAAATGAATCCAAACAAATACAATAAAACTCAAACATGAATAAAGTCAGAGTCCAAAACTGACATGAAGTCAGAGTCTAAAATTGGCATAAAGCCAGAGCCAACCAAATTTAGAAACACCACCAAATGCCAAAGTGCCGTTGCCGTTGCCTCCATGAAGACCGAGACATCGCCACCATGACTAATAATGAGTGAATGAACTGCAAGCACACCAAAACAAATACAAAAACTACATAAAAATCCGTAGCATTACATAAATCGACCATAAAAAACTCTTTAACTCCTTCAAAAATGAAACCTCCAAAACACTAAGAATCCAAGAACATACCCGGGAAAACACTTCCCAAGGCCAAAGGAACCAACATCCTAAGCAAGGAAGGAGGTGACTAAATGCTACATTTAGTCATGTAAAGACGGACTAATTTGCAACTATCGATGTATGTTGATTTTATTGAAAAAGAGACATTTACATGCACGGTCAGAAATCACTCACAAGCATTTAGCAAATAATATGGCATTGCGGGTCGGGTTCGAAGACTTGTAGTACTACTCATTTCAATTTATAGTTTGGACGTAGGAGGCACTATACTGCACGTATTGCGTATGCCTCTGCGGGTTGATACGGTTGAAAGCTATACAATACGGAACTGCTAATTCCTTTCAATTTCGCTTTCATCGTGGGCCAACCAACCCAGGAGAAGTCTTCGAACACTCTTCAATTCAATTTCATCATCATGAACCAACCAAAGAGAAAAATTGGTATCGTCAAACCTTTTATGTTAAGGCATTTGAAATGCATGGTTATTATAATAATTTTGTAAATCTCCCACTTTTATTCAAACATATATTTTTTTTCAGACGGGTGGAGTGTAATATTTTCTAGTAGAATTGAAAGAAATTACAAATACCATTTGAAAATGAGTCTCATTGTATCGTGTATGGGTGTACAAATTGCACATGGCAACAATGATTAAATCAGATGTTGACAATTACTCCTATCAGAAGATAACAATAGGGTTTCTTGGTGTCGTGCGAATTCATAGAATCCAGTATCTTCTCTTCCATGCCAACGGTCAAACATTCATAATTTAGAGTTTACAGCAATCAGACCAGAGTTTACAAGGGGGAAATATTACATGACTCGAGACAACAGCCCAATACTAGATGCATACACAGCCAGGGGAAAGTTGTTATGAGCAACAAACTCGGTTTGATCAGTTTATGGTAACAGATGATACAAACGATGAATCAAGGCTTCGTATAACATAAGAATCAAACTCTAGGGCTCCTCAAAATTGATCAAAATTTGGTTCATACGTGGTTGATGTTTCCTGACCTGCAAATAAGACGGAAAATACAGATATCTGTTAAGGTATCGGGCAGCGGGCTCTTGTATAGCGTAAAAGAGACGGTTCAAGCAATTCTTTGCAGGTTCACTCAATTGGATAACAATTTTTCACACAGCATGTGTATATGGACAAACACACCTGCATACGCATATTAGCATTGTAAAAGTAATGCATTAGCCAAGCTATGGGACTGCGCATTTAAACAAGAAAATGTGAAGCTCAATAGATTACAAGCCTAGTGGCTAATTCTTGAGGCTTCAGGAAAACTTAAGCAAAATCAATTGAATTTGGGAGATGAGAGAACAGTTCAACAAATGAACGATACATACTTTCACACCAGCCAATGAAAGTAGTTTGTGAGAAGCAATGTAGGCAACATCTGGATTATTTAACTGCTTTTCCACAAAATATATAACTTCAGAGACTCCTGACTGCAAGAAAGAAGGTGTAAGAAGAAAAAATATCAGGTTAGAAAATGGCAATGCGCCTAACTGAATACACAAAATGTAGTTTAAAAGCAATAACAAAAAATGGATTACAATCTCTTTACAAATTCATTACTAACGAGCAAAATTTTGGATATTTCTATTACTTTCAGTGGGTTGGGGAGGGACTAGGGAGGGGCGTGCAGGCAGGAGGTGGAAATGACACAAGCAAGGGGATGCCATATTCATATATACTGTAAAATATATCCACAAGAACACATAGTAACAAACCTGAATGATTATTTTGGCACACTCGTTGCAGGGGAACATGGTGACATAAAGCCTCTGCAAAGAAATAGAGAATAAACATTCCTTCAGTACCTTCAGTCACAGCGGGAAAGTTTAACAAAGTAACCGGGAAAATTGCCAACAATTATTTAAAACTTGAGATTCCATTTTAGAACTTGAGTTTATATAAGAAGCTTCAAAACATCTCAATCCCAACAAGTGCCCCATGATGGTCTTTGGTCAAACACAACAATTTAGTCGAATTCACACAACACTACTAGGCCTTGGGTAGCTATGGTTTAACTGGGCCAGCAGATTGACATAATACATTCATAGTAAATGAGACTTTGGAAGTGTAACAAACCTGTCCAGCAGCAGAAGCATGGTTGGTGTTTAGGATAGCATTGACTTCAGCATGACAAACATAACTGCAAAAGGTTAGAAAGATTATAAGCAACAACCAGAGCTCTGGATAGAATTCTATAAATCGGCATAAAGGATAAATCAGTATATCAATGAAGCACAATCATAGGATATGATGTGATGGCTGTGGAAAGAATCAATTTGATTAGAGCACTAGAAAGAAGACAGACATTAAATGTCAACTTCAACATAATTTCAGATTTCATTCTTACGATAAACAGCAGACCACAAATCAGGAATGGAATTTAAGAAAGCACAAAAGCTTACGGATACTTTGTCTCCAAAGGATCCCCAGTTCTGGATTTCTGAATAAGAAAAGAAAGATTCACTAATTAATGCTTACTGTATGATCCAATAATCACTTTTTTTCCCTTCAAATTTTTATCAAATAGCATTTACAAACCTTTGCCCAAGGAAGCTTGTCATCCGAACAACCTCTTGGGAACCCATTATACCCAATTCCTGAAGAAAGATA